AGGTAAGTGGCTTTTAAGACTTTTTGCATCTTTTGCACACTGTAGTCCCTCAACTCCCACAGATGAGTTGCCCACTTTTGCCTTTTGAATCTTACCCTTCTTTGGTGTGACTCCTGTGATCCCTTCTATCAACTCCATTTTCCTATGAGTCATCAGTGTATGTGTCCTCTCTACCAGGACTGTCCATCATTCCAGGTGGGGGAGATAGGGCATATCTTCAACGATCTACATCGAGGTAAAATCTACCTGGGCCTCATCACTGTGGTTTCCATGGAGTTAGCTAGCTTAAGTTCACTTTCCTGATGTAAAAATAAAACTATTCTTGCAGTAAAGACATGGGCCCTGTATAGTGGCTGGGTTTATCTAGCACATTTCCTCCTGATCTGACCTCAACTCCATCATATTTCCTAGTCTAAACAAACCTGGAGCATCACATTTATACTCTTTCTCCCACTGCAAAGTTATTGTTAGAGTCACCAAGTTCCTCTTTGAGGACAGATTGACTCATTCCCAATTGTTCTCGTGTTATCCTGGATTGTGCTGAACAGCAGGTTTTTGAGGGTTTTTTACATTTAAATATCAAGATCAGGACAGGGATGGGAAAATAAATGGCATTTCAACCTCTGTGGTGCTGCAAAGAGAGAGATTGTGTTGGAGGGATTCACTCCTTCCCCACACCCTTCACTTCCCAAAGTGTCTGATGAGGTAGTGTTCTTAGCTCTCTGTGCTTGGGAATGGTGATTGAATGTCTTTGATCCTAAATCAGAATCATTAGGGTGGGAGATGGAAGTGTCACAGACCTGGAAGGGGATTTCAAATTGATCCCAAGCACTGTGTGATCATTTAGAGTTTAAATTCCAGTTTCCCTCTATTGGCAAAGCCATTTCTGTGAAGGTTGGCTGTTCCCCTCCCCCCCATTATGAAGACGCTAAAACTTTTGTAAGTAACACTAATGAGACAGCACTGAGTGAAGCAGGTTTCAATGGATCAGAGGAGACTGCAATGGGGGAATCTCTCATCCTGATTCTGAGTCATCAGGTGTAACTGGCGCTGGAATTTCACTTTACTTGAAAATGAATGTGTCTTCTACCTCACTGTGATATGGCTTTTCTATCTTTCATGACAGCTGTTTGGTCGTATAACTGGATATTAGTTTTGTTTGACAGAATGTAGCTCAGATTTATTAGGAATGTTCAGACAAATCACCATTTGTTACAATCATAATTTCTTACTTTAGTTTTGTTTTTCCCCCTATCCTTACATGATGACATGAAAAAAACTAAAGTGCAGTTCAATTAACAGGAGCGAATAGTCCAAGCTATTGGACATATTATCAAAGAAAAAGTTGTGTTTCTAAATTTCCACTTGAAATGGTGAACAGCAGCAGACCCCAAACTGTGCAACTAACTGAAGGAAGTGCAAATGATCACACTATACTTCAATTCATAGAATCACAGAATATCAGGGTTGGAAGGGACCTCAGGAGGTCATCTAGTCCAACTCCCTGCTCAAAGCAGGACCAACACCAATTAAATCATCTCAGCCAGGGCTTTGTCAAGCCTTACCTTAAAAACCTCCAAGGAAGGAGATTCCACCACCTCCCTAGGTAACCCATTCCAGTGCTTCACTACCCTTGAAGTCAAGAGGTCTCTTAAAATAATCCTAAAATTTGAGAAATGGTGTCCTTAACCATTCTGATGTGGAGGAAATAGAAGTGATGTTTTGGTTGATCTCACCATTTTTAGGTGCTATAATTGTGTGTAAGATGAAATCAGTGTTGAATTTGAGATGTCTGCAGAAAAATAGCTATTTTTAAATAGAAACATTATGTCTGTTATCTTACAGATATTTAGATCTAGGATTGTATTTAATCCCTAAACACAACTATTCTCAAGCGTTCACTGGTGGAAGGGGGGGGATTAAAAGAAAACTAACATATATGAGAAGATTTTTTTTTAATCTTTGGGTAGATTATTCTTACCAATGAAAATGAAATTAAACATGAAGTTATGGATGAAAGAGTGAGAGACTAATTGTGTGATAAACTGAACGATACTGGAACAAAACTTGTATTGTTTTTTAGTTTTGCTTTTTTAAAGTTAGTTAGTAATATAGGAAATGGTGACTAATCCTTAAAAGATAATTTGATGTAATTTACCCCCTTTGGCCTAAAATGTCCTGATGTAAAACCTCACTCCAAAGGTTGGGGTGGGGGAATGTGTGTGAGAAATTGTGTATATGAGAATACTGACCCAGTATAGATTTAATTTTTATCTTTTTCAAATGGAACTTATTTTGATTAGCTTCAAAGTCAATTTTTATTAAGAAGAAATCTACTTGAGGAGATGAGTCATATAACCTTTTACCCAGTTGGACTGCAAAGTCACTGAGTTCCCCACTTCTTCTTCTACTTCTTTTCTTTTCTTTTCTTTTTTGCAAACAAGAGATGTGACATCTGTCACAAGATGCCTCCACTTACTTTTAAGAATAGTGATGGATGCATGATGCAGTTTTTCTGTCACAAATTTTTGTGTCCAGTTATTTTAACGGGTGCTGAGATGCCTTTTCATTTTTGAGGAGGCCAGCTCTTAGAACATGGCCATTTAACCATTAGGACAGGCTATGGAAACCTCCTCAAAACTGGCCATGTTTTTTTCTTTCATTTTTGATATTTTCTTGATATTTTGATAGTTTGGGGGTTCACACATCCACACTGAATGTGGTTTGAAATACCAGATATTTTAAGAAAACTTCTGGGGTAAAACAGCTGACTTTAGGCCAAATTTTGCCTTATTCCAATTTGATTGGGCCACATTGTCTGTATCCAAGGCACACTTCAAACCTGATTTGCCCACAGATCTCAGGGAAGGCACTGTTAAGTAGGTAAGCTGGAATCATCAACCATCAATGTCAAGGAAAAGGCTGGAGTCCATTGCCTTTCAGATCAACAAGCCATCTATGGGCTGATCTATGCTGAAAAGCTATAATGGAATAGCCATTGTGATGTTGCAGTCAATATGATTTTATAAAAATATTCTAATGAGTGAATATAATGTAACTGGAATATGCTTCATGCAAAAGGTCTCTTGTAAGGTATCATTAAAAGCTTATAATCTACTGAGTGGGATCATCCTATTTGTATAAATGTACCACTCTTGTATCTGAACCTAGAAATATGAAATATAACTCTGAGGGCCTATTATAATTATGCAAAGTGTGGGCCATTAATAGTGGTTTGGAATCTTGAAGACTCCCATTAACCAGGACGACTGACTGTAGATGGCTGTGATTGCAGGCAGGCCTTGCTGTGAGTCAGGATGGGAGGAATGAAGGCTTGGGGTCTTACAGTGATATGTGATCATGTCACCTGAACTGGAATCCATCTTTAACCTGGTGCTTTTCCAGTGAGGAGGGGTGGGGGTGGGAACCCAGAGGGACAAAGGATTCCCGCCTTATGCAAAAGATATATAAGCGGGTGGAATAGAACAAAGGGGGAGCCATCATAAGAAATCCCCTAGCTACCACCTGAGCTGGAACAAGAGCTGTACCGGGGAAAGGAGTGTGCCCAGGCAAGGAAGGCATCCAGTCTGAGAAAAGAAACTTATTGAAACATCTCTAAGCATGAGATTTTACCTGTATTCAGTTATATTACTGTATTAGGTTTAGATTTACATGTTTTATGTTATTTTACTGGGTAATTCACTTTGTTCTGTCTGTTACTACTTGGAACCACTTAAATCCTACTTTCTGTATTTAATAAAATCACTTTTTATTCATTAATTAGCTCAGAGTATGTGTTAATACCTGAGGGGGGATGACAAACAGCTGTGCATATCTCTCTATCAGTGTTATAGAAGGTGAACAATTTATGAGTTTACCCTGTACAAGCTTTATAGAGGGTAAAATGGATTTATTTGGGTTTAGATCCCATTGGAAGTTGGGCATCTGAGTGTTAAAGACAAGAACACTTCTGTGAGCTGCTTTCAGTTAAGCCTGCAGCTTTTGGGCACTTGGTTCAGACCCTGGGTCTGTGTTGGAGCAGATGGGTGTGTCTGGCTCAGCAAGACAGGGTGCTGGATTCCCAGGCTGGCAGAAGGAAAGCAGGGGCAGAAGTAATCTTGGCACATCAGTTGGCAGGGTCTATGCTGAAAAGTTATAATAGATAGCCATGTCTCAGGGGTGTGAAAATCCACTTCCCTAAGAGAAGTAGTTAAATTGATCTGAGCCCCAGTGTAGACAGTGCTAGGTCATTGGAAGAATACTCCCAATATTTAAAGTGGTGACATAACCATTGAGAGATTTATCCCCTCTGGGAAGGAAGTCATAACGTCAACACCAGCTTTGACCTGTCTCCCTATATGTGAGAAAGGTGCTAGAGTGGTGTGCAGAGCGACATACCCGATCCTCTGGTTCCTGAGCTGCAACTTTAGCTCTTATTACCCATGAATCCAAAGACTAAGAGAAAAGGAGAGTTCCAACCTTTGTCATTTTCGCACCTTATTGATCCTTTCTCTATATTTTATTTTCATTAACTGGGAGGTGTCCTACCTTTCTATTATATCAGGGTGTGACAGTGTGGCTCAGTGCATGTGTGATGAAACACGGGTGCCAACTGGCAAAGGAGTCTCTGTTCTTCATAAGCAAATCATGTCT